AGCCAGCCCCAGCGCCTGGCTCCGTGATCACGCCCACTGGGGAAGGTAAATTGTTCTTTCTTTGCCTACAGTGGGATGGAATACAGGAGGGGGAAATGCTGTTGTCAGGTTGCCTGCTTCCATGGAAGAATGGCTCATGTGGCACAAAATATAAGTTCTTCCTCAGGGAAGGGACTCTTTGGCAGCATCCTTGGTTCAGTCTTCCTCCTTGTATGCCTCCAAAGGCATGGTGCTCATGCCCATAGTTCAGTAGGAAAAACAGACATGTAACAACTCAGAATACTTTAAAAGCCACTGCAATAGATGCAATTAAGGAAAGAAACATGGCTGCCAATCAGAAGGTTAAGGAGATGTGTGTGAGCTACAGAGGGGGAGTCTTAAGCTGGCACAGTTGAGATGAGTTCTGAAGGAGGAGAGAACCCTGAAGGATGAGGGGTTCCTCGTAAGAAAGTGGGAAGAGGTCTGTAGATCATCTAGGAAGACAGATGAGCAAGCAAGAAGGCTTTGAAGAGAAAGATGTATTTGATTACTTCAAGAAACAAAAAGACCAGGCGGCTTAAGGACAAAGAATCAAGGAGGTAAAATTGGAGGGATCTGGTATCCAGTCACGTTACACATTTTTAGGCTTTCTTAAAGGCAACCCTAAGGACAGAAGAGTTTGAATTCAGGAAGCAATCATATTTGCATTGCTCAGACCTATATCTGGCTTCAGTGAGAAAACAGATTTTTAAGGGAGCAATTATAGATGGGGCAGACACATGAGGAAGCTGTTGACAACATCCAGACAGGGAGGGATTGTGGCTGGGACCCATTGGTCAAAGTAGGAATAAAGAAGCTGTCTTGGTTATGAATTCAATCCAGGGCATGAGAGAAAATGTAGGGGCCCCTGCCAGGGCAGGGGAGCTGTGAGAGGAGGGAGCCCCCAGAATCCAATTCCCTGCCTCCCACCAGGTGAGGGTGGGGGTCCCTGACAACAGGTGGGCCAAGCCTGACCCCTATACATATCCCAGCAGGCAGCCCATGCCCAGTTATGCCTGGGGAGTGCAGGATCCAAGCCATGACAGGCAGTAGACAGCGGGCTGGCCCTGCAGGTTGCTGTACACCACTGGGGCCGGTGTGGACCCATGGCCTGGGTCCCAGTCCAGAAGGAGCCCCATTGCTGATACTCCTGGGCACAGCCAACCCTCCTCCCTGAAAGCCCCCTCTGCTTATGGAGAAGGCCCAACACACCCTCTCTATTCCCTCGTCCTTCCTCCCACCCCCCTTCTGCAGGATTTGCACCAGAACGTGTCCCCCCTGGGCGTCCTTTTGCTCTGAGCTATGAATATTTTTAACCCTGTAAATAAGGCCAGCTCTTGTATCAGAGACTGTTTTCTCAGCCGCCCCTTGTCCTCACTGGCTCTAGATAGTTCTCTATCAGTGATTTCTAGACTCAGGCACCAATGAACCAAATAAAAAGCATACCTCTCAAATTCTTCCACTCACTGTTAAGCATATATGAAAGTTTTCCTACCTACTTTTGGGGACCTTGTTCCACTAAGTTAGTACCTTTCCTATAACTGGAAATCCTCTGCAACAAGCTCTGCTCTCAGCATTTAAATGTGTCCTCTTCTTAAAAACAACAGCCTGTACCTTGCACAGGCACCATCCTATCTTGCAACAAATAGCCACGGGGTACCTACAGCATGTCAAGAAGTGCCTTTAGGCTATGAATCTCCAATGAGGAAGACTAGGGCATCATCAAGACTTGAGCTACTACTGTGGCTTCATGGGCCACCCTGATTTTACTTCTCTAACTCCCCTTCACAGCTTTCTCAGGGTCACCTCACTTTGCTGTCCCTTCTACCTCTACTGAAGAGCCAGCCACCAGGGTCATGAAGACCTTCTCCTTACCCTAGAAAACCTCTCAGCAGTACTTTCCAAACATTCTCTCCCCACCTGGCTTCCATCCCAAGGAACTCTCATTCAAATGCTCTTGTTCCCATGGCCTTCGTGCTGGATGATAATGTTTTTGCACATCTCCCCGACTGGTCTGTAAACCACCAGAGGAAGAGGCCATGCTTATTTGCTCATCCTGAATGTCTAACACAGTGTCCGGCACATGACAGAGACATCTAATAGACATTGTGCCTCTGCCTTGCCTCAAGTATGTCAACTCTGAGGAATGCTGTGGAGCCAGGGGTCGGAGAGAGTCCTGAGCAGGAAGAACTTTATCACTGGCTGAGCTGTTGGTGGTTGGGAACCATTTTTGTTGTTGTTGTTTTTAACAAAGAGCTATGCTCATCTCACTTATTATTGACTGGGATGGAAGGTGCTGGAGAAGTGACAACTGCAAATCAACTTTTTTCATGGCCAATTTTCTTTCCCTCCTTTCTAGGCATACTGTGAGCTTCTTCCTTATTGTCACCCAGCTGGGTTTCTGCTGTGTGTACATTGTGTTTCTGGCCGATAATTTTAAGCAGGTACGATCTTCCAGAGATGGGGGCGGGGGGGGGGGGGAGGGGACTCAGAAAAGGAGGCTCCTCCGCTGCTTGTGTTTTCTTACAAATTACTTCTTGTCTTTGCAACCCTCATTGAAAACTAAGAGTTATCTGGATGTTATCAAAGAACATAGCCTCGCCCAATTCCCATGTCAGCAGATTTTGGTGTGGTTACTTTTGCCACCAGTACCCTTTGGCCAGTATTTTGGACTTGTCTTTAAGGTTGGTCTCCAAAGTCCTGAACTGGAATGACCCTTGGATTTTATCAATTCTCCTGTCTTGGAATTTAATCACACTGAATGCTTGTTAAAATTGATACAAAGTCCTGTTTGATTTTAGCCAATATTCTGGAAGTCATCTTTATCCTTCTTGAACTACTTACTACATAGTGATTCCCAGGAGTCTTTCTGCCCATATCTGGAAGTTATCTTGCAGCCATTTGGGCACAGTTATATGGGTAATAATAGAGGTTCCCATTAATTAACAAATGTAACAAAAATATTTTAGGGCTCTAATTTCTGTTTATAACTGTAAGATAAGGAACTCAGAAATGTAAATGTAAAAAAATTTTAAAAAACATGGTAGGTATTTGTAATTAGCTTCTACTATTGTCAGTTACAGCACTAAGCATTTTTCATGCTCTCCATCATTTCATTGTCTCTGTGACCTTATCAGAGAATATACTGTGGTCATTCCCAGTTTTTAGTTAAGAAAACTAAGGTCACAAGCTTCAAAAAGAATTGAGGTAGGATCAAAAGGCTCAGGCTTCTGACACGAGAACTCAAGTTTTTAAACATTATATTTTCCCCCCCACCACAAGTTTAATGATCCTTAATCCAGTCATTCACAATTAAAACTGAACATAAACTGATTTTAATTTTTCAGTTTCCTTATAGTTGCTCATAATTCCACCACACAAATTTATAACAACCAGTCTTCCATTTGTACTTCCTTTGATTGTATTTTTTCTGCCAAAATTGAGTGGCACACAAGTCTTGCGCTTTAATTCCTGGGCATTTATAAGGGCACATCAAAAATTTACTGCAATTAGAATTAAAATAGGAATTTCCTTTGATTCAAATTTTTTTGATTCATGCATAGTGTTTTCATAATAAACATTCCTATAAACTTTCTGAACACTTTTGAATTCTTAAAGGCTCTTGAAACACATTTCTAGACTGTTTTTCAGAGACCCATCTCATACCTGCAGAACTTTATCATTCTATTTCTATTTGCATTTATCTGTCAACTATAGTTTATATTTATTCGTGAACTTGAAAGTTAGAGATCTTCCATATCTCTCAGTGGGAGGCAGGAACCCAAACATTAGAGTGATCTTCTGTTGCTTTTCCCAAGCACATGAGTAAGGGAGCCAGATCAGAAGTGGTGCAGCAGTACACAACCAGTGCCTACATGGGATGCTGGTGTTTCAGGAAGTGGCTTTACCCACTACACCACAATCCAGGCCCCTCATGTACACTTTCTATCAAGACAAGCACTGTTTTAAGGAGTTTACAGGCTAAAAGGGATATCTTCTAAGACATAAAATATTGAACAGGATATTTTGGTGACAGATTAGGATGCCACTAACAACACCTGAGATGGGGGTGCTTTGCCATGGACTACGTGGCAGAAATCACTGGAGTGAGTACATCTGGCCTGGGCAATGAAGGGCGGCTTAGAGGGAAAGGGCCTGCCAAGGTGGGAGAAAGAGAAGGCTTGTTCTGAGAAGCAATACAGCTAGTTACAGAAGAAAGTATTGGCTACAGGATGAGAAGACCCCAAAGGCTGGACAGGATCTATTTACGTAAGTCCTGGAATGCCAAGCTACCATTCCAGGTATTTTTCCTACATGGTGAGAAATCAGAAAAAACAAACAAACAAAACAAAATGTACTGATTCCTCAATGTAGTCATGGTCTCCTGTTTATTATTATTTTTAAAGATTTATTTATTTTTATTAGAAAGGCAGATGTAGAGAGAGGAGGAGAGACAGAGAGGAAGATCTTGCATCTGATGATTCACTCCCCAAGTGACTGCAATGGCCGGTGCTGTGCTGATCCAAAGCCAGGAGCCAGGAGCTTCTTTCCGGGTCTCCCACGCGGGTGCAGGGTCCCAGTGCTTTGGGCCATCCTCGACTGCTTTTTCCAGGCCACAAGCAGGGAGCTGGATGGGAAGTGGAGTTGCTGGGATTAGAACTGGTGGGATTAAAAAACAAAAACAAACAACAACAAAAAAAAACTGGTGGAATTAGAACTGGCGCCCATATGGGATCCCGGCATGTTCAAGGCGAGGACCTTAACCACTACACTATCGTGCCAGGGCGGTCTCCTGTTTAAGTGAAAAGAGTGGATGATATAGATACTATTTTATAAAGTGAAAACAATGTGCATCATATATGTAATTGTGATGTTTCATAGAACATTTACAAATGAAAATATTCTAAAATGTTGCTGTGACTGTTCATGAGTACTGAGACTTAACCAGGGGTTTAACTTCAGCTTCCAATTGTTCTGCAGTGGGTTATATATCTCTTGTCTACTCTTTGCATGTCATCCTTGTGCAAATGCCATGCTAATCTCTGTGTTGCTCCAATTTTAGTATATGTGCTGCTGAAGCGAGCACACTTGCCTACTCTTACTACTTGCGTGAGTTTAAGCCATGTGGATTTGAAACAGGATGACACCACCCACTAACACCAATTTTGGGTGGATTGAGGGGTCTTTTATCACAGTGGTGGGAGGATGTTAACAGCTTTTATTGGATGAGATCCACGGAGGCTAAATATTCTGCAAGTGTTGTTCCAAGTAACAAACAACAAGTGATGGGCTTTTTGGTTATAAGAAACAGAGTCTGAGGGGTGGGGGTTTTACACTGAAAATGAATTTAGTGGAACGATATTGTGAACTCACAGAGACAGAGGATGCTAAAAAGAATGGGCCTCAACAAAGAAAAATCAAGGGCCCAGCTTAATGGCTCAGTGGACAAATCCTTGCCTTGCATCTACTGGGATCCAATATGGGTGCTGGTTTGTGTCACAGCTGCTGCACTTCCCATCCAGCTCCTTGCTTGTGGCCTGGGGAAGCAGCAGAATGGCCCAAAGCCTTGGGACCCTGCACCTGTATGGGAGACCTGGAAGAAACTCCTGGATCTTGGCTCCACATCAGCTTAGCTCTGGCTGTTGCAGCCACTTGGGGAGTGAACCAGTGAATGGAAGATCTTTCTGTCTCTCCTTGCTCTGTAAAATCTACCTTTCCAATGAAAATAAATAAATATTTTTAAAAAAAGAAAGAGAAATCAGGACAGGTAGAAACTGATTGACTGGATCCTCATAGATTGTTGCTCATGTTCATCTTTTCCTAGGTCTGTCGCTGTGCCATTTGTTTGAGATCTCGATTCAAATCCCCGAGGAAACTCTGAATGGCCAAGCTGGAGTCCAGGGTCAACCATCTGACTCTGACCTGGGGTTGCGAGTCTCAGTCCTTCCAGGCTGTGTTCACTGACCAGGGAAGACCCATGGGGAGAAAACATTGATACTAAGAGGAATAGATGCTGAGCTATCAAAAGCTGACAAATAACCCCTATAAATCTGGTTACTTGTTTTGTACCAAGTTAATTTTTTATTAAAGTTATTTGTGAATTCTCCTTTGGGGAAGTTCAGTGTGGAGGATTTTGAAGATCTAAATTCACATGACTGGTCCCCTGGAACCTCCAGCTCTGTCCAGGAGTTTGTTACGGGCTGGTGCTGGGCTAACCATGTGGTCAGAAGAATGATCGTCCCCTCCTCTTGTTCTTCCCATTCCCTCCTCAGGTAGTGGAAGCTGTTAACAGCACAACCAACAACTGTCATTACAATGAGACGGTGGTCCTGACACCCACTATGGACTCACGGCTCTACATGCTCTCCTTCCTGCCCTTCCTGTTGCTGCTGGTCCTCATTCGAAACCTCCGCATCCTGACCATCTTCTCCCTGCTGGCCAACATCTCCATGCTGGTCAGCCTGGTCATCCTCACCCAGTTCATCGCCCAGGCTAGTGCACATCACACACCTGACTCCTTCGGGGGCTGGGCCCTTGGTCATTTGGGTATCTGGGATATATCCCAGGGGTAAATTTTTTTGTCCTCTGTGGCTTCTGAAAGAAGGAAAACATAGGTGTTGGTAGTAGAGTGGTGAGCATAGCTGCCTTCCAGAGAGGAAAAACATGTCATAGTTATGGAGTATATCAATGTACTTCTGGGATTTCAGCTTCAATGTAGTGTTGCCCAGTGTGTATATGTGAACACTAGAAATGAAAAGAAATTAAGAAATTGGCAGGAGGGAATCCTCATCCATAAATCAACCTCAGAGACTCTGTTATTAATATGATAGATTTTGCCTATAGTTTTTCAGATTCTAAATATTAGGGGTTTTGTTTATCTCTTACAATCCATAGAAGTAAATCTGGGTGCTCAGACCTATAGTCTAGAGAATGTGCAACCCTGAGTGACTTGTTAAGTTTTAACTGTTACAAGATCTCTGCTTTTGGCTGCTAGCCAATCACTGTAGGAATAGTTTATAGCTCACTGGTTAAGGTGTTGTTCTTGCAAAATAAGCATAGTTTTTAAGAGCTAGAATTTGACCCAAAAAGCAAGTAAGTATTTGGAAAAACAGCATGGATGGGTAGATGGACAGAAGAATGAAAGAGTAGAGACAGCCCAAGGGAAGAAATGCCGAGGTGAGGTGTACAAAACCTTTACTCCACATGTGCTGCTCCTCTTTCCTTTCCACTTTGTAGAAGGAAACGGAGCTTCCATGTCTAAGTGCTGTTCCCTAGAATGTTATTGTAACTACCATCCCAATGGGCACTGGGCACTGGGCACCTTAGGGTAGCCCTAGTTTTGTGAGCTCTAGAAGGTTTTCTTTTGACAGTTTCTGATCACTCTAATGCCCTCCATGAGATATCACACACGTGTTGTCCACAACCAGCACAACGTAAACCAGGGCTTGAAGAGTGGGTGTCACGTAAGGAGAAAAATGCCACAAGAGGGGTTTGACAGTGGGCAGAGGAGTCCTCTCTCTGTGAGGGTGGTCAACCCAATGCCTGGCCTGGACTGCTTTCACCCATTTGGGGAACCATGTTTTCTGTTAACTTTTTTCCACAAACCCAAGAGGCCAGACACAGCAGGTGAGCCACACAAGAAGGCTTTATTTCAGCGAGAGAGGCAGTTTAGGGCAGGGAGAAAGTGAGAGCAGAGAGGAACAAAGCAGTCAGAGAGACAGCATCAGGAAAAGAGAGACTGACAGAGAGCACAGCAAGGGATGAGAAGAGCAGAGAGAGAGAGAGAGGAGAGAGAGAGAGAAGGAGAGAGAGGCAGAGAGAGAGAGAGAGAGCAGAGAGTGTGGGGGGAGAGGAGAAAGAAAGAGAGAGAGAGAGAGCAGAGACAGCGACAGCACAAGGAAAGGAGAGACAGCATGAGGAAAAGAGAGAAAGAATAAAGGGAAGAGGGATCTCTCAAGATGGGTATGGGGAGTGCCAGGTCAGGGATTGGCAGATGCAGCTGTAAGCGGACACCAGGAATACATGCCTCAGGAAACTGGTGGAGCACACAGTTTAAACCTGAAGGTCACTAAGTTTAACTAGGCATGTGGGCCTTAAGAGGGTTGAGATCTAGGAGGTTTATGGTAGTGCTGGGTAACCAGGTGTCCAAGGGGATTGAGATCTAGGGGATTTAAGGGAATACTGGGTAAACAGGAATTCAGGATAGCACTGAGTCCAGGATGATGGGGTCAGTCTTGGGGAGCGGGTCACAGTTTAAGTCACTTCTTACACTATCAACTCCATTCACTTGCGGGATTTTGTTTGGGGACTCCTCACCATCCCAGCCAGGAGTCTTCTGGTGGACCATGCCCAGAAAGGAGCACAGAGCATACAGTCAATACCTTAGGAACCTGTGCTGCCCGAGGCGCTGGATGCTCCGATCACTGACCCATCAATACAGTAAACTCTCCTATACCTTCCATTCCCAGACAGCTGATGCTAGTCTGTCCCGATCCAGCTACTGAGGACGTTTCTTAACAACCTTGACATAGCTTGACAAGGCCCTGATGGCCTTGGCTTTTGGCAGATCCCGGAACGCCTCAGCAGAGTTCTGTTCCCAAAGCCCTCCATGTCTGCCTGCTGCAGGTGCTGGCTGCTTTCCATCCTTGGACTCTTTGGTATTAGCCAGTGTTAAACTCAACTCAGATCATTGCCCACTTTGACATTTTCTGCACTTATTCAATTTTTTTCAAGTTGTGTCTGTTCCCACAGTACTGCTGTCTTAAAAGAGCTTTGAATACGGCAATCTTACTGTGTTTCTCTTGTAGGAAATTCCTGACCCCCGCCGGTTGCCACTTGTAGCAAGCTGGAGGACCTACCCTCTCTTCTTTGGAACAGCCATTTTCTCATTTGAAAGCATTGGCGTGGTAAGCTGTGCCTGGGGGTGGACTTCCTGGGTGCTGTGAGTGGCTTTCTGAAAAGCAGCTGTGACATCTGGGGCTTCGTGTCCTTTTGGCCATTGAGTTGGGCCAGCTGGGAATTGTGCACAAGACTAAGTGACCTCTGGTCTCACTTGGGTCACTTGTCACCAGCAGGAGAAATATAGATTGCAACAGGGAGCTAGTTGGGACATGGTTTTATTTTTGTCCCAGAACATCTATTCATCTTTCTATCACTTTAACTCTCCTAATCTCTTAAAATCAAGGCTAATCACTGTATAAAAGTCACATGAAAGGATTTTATTAATATAAAGGAGTTTTAAACTTGAAAAATGATATATATTTCAATGAGTTATTATATAGTTTCTATTTCCACAACTGGAGAAGGGTAATACTATTTATATTTCTATAAAACTTGCTCTGCATTTATATACAATAAAAGTAACTATTTTAGTGTAATTCCTTCAAGTTTTGAGAATTGCAAAGAATCAGAAGATAAATCAACTCTCCACAAAACATTTTCTTGCACTGTTCCTTTAAAGTGAATCTCTTTTCCCATCACTAACTCCTGGCAACCTCTTCTGTTTTACTACTTTGTTTTCCAGAATGTCATAGAAAGGGGATCACATGGTAAGTAACCTTGTGAGAGTTGCTTCTTTCACTTAGCCTGATGCATTTAAGATTCACCCATGCATTGCTGCGTCAACAGCTCATTGCATCCACTGTAGGACAGTTTATCAACTCACTTGTTGAAGAACATTTGGGTTGTTTCTAGGTCTTGGCAATTATGAACAATGCTCCTATAAGTCTTAGTGAACAGCTGCTGTGGGCATGTAAGTTTTCATTTCTCTAGGAGTAGCTCTACTAAGTACGCACTGTATGGTGTATGTGACATACAAAGTAATGTAGCTTTAACCTGATAAGAATTGTCAAACTGTTTCTCAAATTGGCTGTACCATTTTGCATTCTCAACAGAGTCTGTGGTCTTGCCAGTAGTTCTGCAGTTTGGCTAGTGCTTGTATGTATTGTTGGTGTTTTAATTTCAGCCATTCTAATAGATGTGTAGTGAGTAGTATTGGCTTGTGATTTAATTTGCATGGAAGCCATGACCAGCAGTTTTGAGCATCTTTTTGTGTGCTTTCTTGGTCTTAGCACGTCCTCTTTGGTA